ATGGAGTGGAGTTGCTTTGTCTGTAAGAGAGATAGAGCGAGAGAATCTTTTCTTCGCTTTCTAGGTTCGCTCGTCTAGGTTCCTCCATTTGAAAACGTATAAATAGCGAGGATATACAACAGAAATTCAATCATTTCGCATTTTTCAACTTTTGATAACACTCCTCAGGTTAGTAAAACAATAAATAATTACTGTTTTCTTTGCTTTTTAGATGGTTGATAAGAAAGAATCGGAAAAAATCAAAGAACCATTCGATTTGTTGAAAAAATCAAAAAACTTTTACGTAAGTTTGGTTTCACAACTTATTGATAACCTATAAAATGTTCTTTGATTTTTAGGACAAAACTGGAGCTCCAACGGCCACGGCAGCCAACCGTAAGCGATATCGAACTTATATACTCGTTTTTTTAGCATTACATTGTTAAACTGCATTTTTGTTTCAGATCCACTGATGGCTGCCGTGGGCCGGACGCCGACAACATCGTCGGAGAACGTCCCTAGAGGTTTAGATGGTAAACCAGGTGTAGATGGTAAACCAGGTGTAGATGGTAAACCAGGTGTAGATGGTAAACAAACATCACAAACATCGAAAAAGCAAGGACAACAGCAATATTAAGCAATTTGGTCATGCCATGCTTTTATACACGTGTTCATTTCAGACATTTTTTTTTGTTCTAAACAGGATCATTTGTCATTTATTCTTTATTTTTCTCGTTGATATTGTTGTTTGCTGCTGTTTTATAAAAGCTGAAAGAAAATAAATATATATAAATATCTTTTACTACCGAAAAGGGTCTTTTACAAATTTAGGGATTTTGGACGTATAGATTTGCCACTGGATCCGCTATAGCTGACTTTTTATGAAAACTCGTTGTATCGGATTCAATTACACAATTAATGATTTTTCTATCGTGTTAGATTAGATGCTAAACTAACTGAATTTCTTAACAATCATCAGAACACATAATAAATCATTCGATATAAATGATGGTCATTACTTTACTATCGATGACTATTCTTCAATTCAAAAATTAATAGTACAAGATTCCCAAATGAAATTAGATCTAGTATTAAATAAATTCAATTTTAACCGAGTTGAATAAACAACTGAAACAGGAAGATATTGACTCAGAATCGTCGCTAGAAAATCATGTTCAATTATTCTATCAAAATTTACCAAAACAAATAAATGACAAACGATTTGAAATGAAAAATATTCATAAACACAAATAACTTAGAGAAGAGAAAGATTATTCCTATAGCCCTGTTCTTGTCCAACAATTGCAACATCTATAAACATGAATTTGGTTATTGTACGAAATGTGCTAATTTAATCGAAAATTCGCTATTCTTTCCATACAATGATGTGTTTCAGACAATGATATGTTTCAACTAAGCAATGTTCATATTCAACGAATATTTTGGACATGCTCAGCAAAAGATCTTCGCTACTGCGCAAAAAGAGATGAATACTGTACAATTTCTTCATTTCCATAATAGTTTGACAAAACGATCGGATACATTCATCAGTTTGTTCATTGCTGCTGTTGAGGGGTTTTATGTCCACCATTATACTGTGAATATTTTGAAAGCAGTTTGTCAGAAGATTTTTCACATGTACTAGTCGACGAACATTATACAAATCCAAATAGATAATGTTGTTCAATATGTTTCTTACTATGTCACGTGAAAGAGTATCGTTGACATTTGTGTGAAAATATTCAGCATCAATGGTTAAATATTGCAGATTCGTCGTTAATAGTAGGATTTGATCAAAGTACGACATATCTTGATCGATGTTTAACGTTTTGACACACTTTAGTGTTGAACTTACGGAAAACGTTTCACTTCTTTCAACGTTTTTACAGCTATGACCAAAACTAAGCGTCTTCAGACTTGGAAAGTTTCTTACTAGAATCTGAGAAATATCGCTGAATGATGTTACATGTGGACACGCCCAATAAACCTCCAAGTCTCTGACACTCCAGTAATTGTCTTGACCATCATAAGATGCATTTAATAAATTGAACCCTTTCATAAGACTGTCAAACCATGGTAATGTATAAATCGAATAGACATTACCTAGTTCATCCAAGTTAAAACAGATTTTCCATTTCATTCTAGTGTCAATGAAGGATTCTTCTATTCTAACTCGGTCAGCTGGCACTTCCAACGCAAACTTAATGCAAAAATTTAATTCTTTCAAGTTCGTAAGGTTCGATAACATTTGATCAATTCTGTCACCATTAATGTATGACGATAAATTGGATCGATTACAAATAAAGTTTAACTTGTTTAAATATATTAAGTTTTTAATAATCTTCTCAAGTATTTTATAATCAATTATACCCCAATAACATTTTAAAGTAAAATCTTTTAATTGTGGTAATTTCAATGGTAGACTCTAAATGAAGAACAAAAGCTTGTCATCATAGCTCTGAATACATGGTCTGAACTATAACTTCATTCCAAATGAGAAACTGGCCTTAAGTATTAAGTAGAATACTTACCTCGAAGTCATATGTCTCATCGACTATATCTGCATCAAAGTCAACATTTACAACTGTTTCGATCAGGGAAATATTCAAATAGTCTAATGATGGAAAATGATCAAATATAAATAGAACATCACTAACACGGCCAAGATGAATTCTTAAACGATGAATATGGTCGTTTTTTGTTAATATTTCAGGTGATTTCAGAAGTAAACCGAGATATGAATTGAGTTTTATATCGAATCTTTCTAATGAAGTCTTTTTTGTGTTAAATAATATGTGTTCGCGAACAAACGAAGAAAATTGCTTTAGGGCGGCGCAATTCCGTTCAACCCAACCATCTAAACATTCACGCAATCGAATCTTTAAGTTCTGTAAATTTGGAAGATATTGCGAATAGGAACTTTCGAAAAATAGATACACATCAGATATATTATTGATAAATAATAATGCTAAACATTTGACATTATCAAACTGAGAAAATATACCAAGTGAATTAAAACGTTTCAATTGTATGGGAGCATATGCTTCGTCGATGGCTAAAGTTTCAACTAATTTACTGACTTTTTCCAATAGTTTTGAATCACAAATCCATTGGAATAGTTTCACGTTGACATTATACAAATTTATATTTGATAGATACTTTCTTTCTACTAATATGTCATCCAAACGGTGAGTGACATCGAACAGTGATTGTAGTACTTCACCGGACTTTAAATAGTGACAGATTTCAATTAGACATAGATCAGGTAAATCATTGAACGAGGTCATCTAAATGGAAATACAATACTTTCACAAAGATCGAAGTAATCATACTTAAAGGCATTTGATAACATATAGTTTAATTTCTTATACTGGATGAAGATACTTTCCAGGGGTGAGAGTAAAAGGTTCGAAATACCTGCCAAGTTTTCCAGGTGAGTACCTACAATTTTTCCGTTTTTTTCAAAAAAGTTCAGGTGAGCAGTTCTTGTTAAGTTACCCATATAGCCTAGTTTTTAAACCGTAGAGCCTAAAAATGAGTGACGTACCAATTTTATAGAAAAAGCCCCATAAAAAAGTCGACTTTTACCACATTTTAATTTTTTCTTGGTCTGTTCCTTATTTTATACATGAAGCGAACGAGCAGAAAAAACTGAATAACTTTGGCTACCCATGTAAATATTTTTTAGTTGTAGACGCGTCTGGGCATGGGTGTATCGAATTTGCATCATTTCGCTATTTTAAGACGCATCAGTAAAATAGCTACCATGCTGCGAAACCCTGTTATAAGAGAACAGTTTTAACGCAATTTATAGAGCCATCAATTTTTGTCTACAAAATGATCTACTTTACGTTGAAATGGACCCCAGAATGAGTCCATAAATGAGCTACAATATTAATACGACCAGAATTAGCATCATTCATCAACCTTTTCAAAACTTTAGTTTTGACACAAACCATTTCATTCTCAAACGAAACTGATATTGGTGATGTTCTATGACATGTTTCTGCTCGTATCTGAACAACCCAGGTGAAACACGTCTTGTACGACCTTGCAAGACCTGGTATTTTCTTATGAAATCTTGTAATAAGATCTTACAATATGATCATACAAGATCTTATTATAAGATAATGTAAGATCTTATGGAATCTTGTAACTTCTTGTTATAAGATTCCTCAAGATCTGGTTATATGAAGTGACAAGGTATTATAAGATCTTATGACAAGAATTCATATGATCTTATAAGATCTTACAAGATCATATGAATTCTTGTCATAAGATCTTACAAGATCTCATAAGATCGATGACTCATCTCTACCACATCCCAGGCCGTGAAAAATGAGATAAAAAATGAGCCATGAATGACTCATTTATGTGCCATACATGGCTCATTCTTAAATCATATCTCTCCCATATTTATCTCATTTATTGTATCCTAATATAGTCATAATTATGTCATTTTTTTTTGGATAAATATCATCTTATTATGGTCATCAAAATGAGCCTATTATGATCCTGTTTAGATCATTTTAAGACCATTTTAAGACTATTTATGAGATAAGAAATGCAAAGAAGAAAAAATACGAAACAGCTCGTGCAGAGATTCGAACCTGAATCTGTAGATCAGAATAGTCTACGATGCTATCCACTACATCACACGGCTATACAAATATACAGGTTTTTGTTTCTTCTATTTTGAGATTTTCACTCTGAAGTTTAAAAAAAAACTAGTAATTTTGATTAGTTAGTCTCTAGTTTTCCCACAAACACTGTAGAGAGTTGAGCCTCGAGACTAATAGATAGTAAACTTAATTTTGACATTTTTTCACTCCAATCCCACCTTGGAAAACACTTCGTTCATGGCGAAAAACGGAAAATAAAGTTTAAAAAGGGATTTTCACCCTGAATAAACGATTTTTGGGGGTCGACGCCAGAGTAAAAAATATCAGAAATTAACTTTACTATCTTTTAGTCTCTATGCACAACTCTGTACAGTGTTTGTGGAAAGTGGCAGAAGATAACTGCGCATAGTTCCATAAAAAGTGCTACTTTCGTTTGTGTCATAATGTCTCATAAATGACTAATCTAATACACATAAATGATATGATCTAATTATGATCATAAAATGTGACAAATATAATTGTAAGAAAATGATGATTTTAGATTAG